CCTTATGTGACAAGGATATTTTGTTAATTTTGAAAAAGTATGCTTTTTTTTTTTATATAGTCTTAAAATGTGTCTTGTACCAGGATTTACTTCAAGACTGAAGAAGTCTAAGGAGCATTTCTACCCTTCAAGGGACAAACATACTCTGTGGCATAACCTTGGTAAAATTTCTTTTAAGAATAATGCTGAGGGCCCTGGCCGGTTTGGCTCAGCGGTTGGAGCGTCGGCCTGCAGACCAGAGAGCCCCGGGTTCGGTTCCCGCTAGGGGCACGTAACAAACAAAAAGAAAAATGCTGAGGCAAGCTAGCAAAGTTCTTTCTGTAGCCAGCATGCCACCAGTGAAAACTCCTACAGACAGTCTCCACATTCCCCCTGAGTGAGTCACTACTGTCACCAGAAAGGGGGCCTGGCCCTTGGCGGGTCTGCGTAGGGCCCGTCTGTAGTGTGTGGGTTCTTGACTTCGTGCAGGAAAAATTTCACAACATGAGTCCAGGTGAATCTTAGAGGACGTTTATTAAAGCTGGGGACAGTGACACAAGGAAAGGCTGGCCTGCTTTGGCTCACTGAGCAGTCAGAGAAAAGGGGGAACTGGGGACAGGTTCAGGGGGTTTGCCTGGGATGAGCTGCCACTGCCCATTGCTGCCCTGGTTGCAAGCCTCATGGGGTCCCTTAGCGTCCAGGAGATGCTGCCTGGGGGGGGGGGGTGCCAGTGTGCTCATGGGAGAGAGCACGTACTAGACCTTCATTTTGAGGGGTTATAAAGGCTGGGCCTTTCGGGGAAGGCTTAGGAGAGGATCTCAACAGAATTTTCACCAGCTTTATGCTGATGTACCAAAGTGAGTTTTATTCTCTTAACTTTCATCTGTCCTTGGGTGTGGTTGGCAAATGGCAGTAAATCCTGCTCTTTCTCCCTGAGTAGGATGATATCAGCTATTTACCCTCTGGTGGGGGAGGAGGAGTGTAAACTATTTACTCTTAAATAGTTTAGGAAAGACAGGATCTGCTAGATGGCTGAAACGGCTTGGTATCTTGATTTTCTAGATGGATGCAAACTGCTGTTTAACTACCCGGTCTCAGTTTCCTTAATCCTCTCATCCTGGCTTACTGGCCTGTCTCACCTCCAGGTCTGAGTGGTAGAACCTTGCTAAAAGCAGTAAGAAATGTATCTCTTAAAGATGCGAGTTCATCGGAATTTTGGATATTGAGCCTTTATTGTCCATTTTAACTCATATGAATGACATAACACTTCCACTAATAACTATGACACTCCTTTTCAGTCTATTCATGAAAGGTAAATGCAAAATGAACACTGCACACATAGCCATTTAAGAACATTACAACATCAGACATGAAATCTACCTGGTGATCTTCACAGTGTCATTGAGAAAATGAAGTTGATAAAAATTCAAGTAGCAGAAGGGGGCAGTAAAACGCAACAGAATACTGGAAATTTTTTCCTTCAAATAGATAATTTCCCAACAAATTTCAGAGACTAATAAAGAAGTATAACAGATACATATATCTATCAAAATATGCACAGAAACCCTAAATATATACAAAAGTGAGAGCTATGATTTTTATATCATCAAAACCTTACTTTCTATGGATGATATATCACAGCATAATACTCATCATAGGATGTCCCAAGTAACAGGTGTAGCCATTTTCATTTGGTGTGGGAGATTTAATATCCTTCTATGACCAACATCCCAAAACACACTATTTGTTTCTATTTTATTGTCTCAAATTTGTCCAAATTATTTAATAAATCCTGTCATTATAATTCTTCCTCGTGCCCATACTTGGACTTCCTTTCATACTTGGACTTCCTTCCTTTTTTTTTTTATCCTCACCCGAGGACATTTTTTTCCATTTTTTGTTCAGATAGAGTGGGAGGGAGAGAGAAGAAGAGAGAGAGAGAGAAACATCGATGTGAAAGGGACACATCGAGTGGCTGCCACCCACACAACCAACCAGGGCCGGGGACAAACTGCAACCAAGGTACATGCCCTTAGTGGGAACCGAATCCCGGTCTCTCTGGATCGCAGGCCGATGCTCTAACCGCTGAGCCAAACCAGCCAGGGCTGGACTTCCTGTCTAAATGGTGTCCACCCTTAAAGGGTCATTTTTCCTTGAACTCTGTCCTGACTGCTGAGGTCCAAGAACTCTCTCCACTCGACCATGCTGCGGAAGTTACAGATTAAACCAAACAGTTTAACCAAATAGATGTTTTGATTGAATTTCCGCTATGAAACAGATTTCAATTTATTCAAGTTCCAAGTAGTCCAAATGTGAATATCCTCTATGCCCTGTTCTGTCCTGACCTTAGAATTCAGTCTCGGCAAACAACACAACACACTTCTGTACATAGTAGACATATCGCTAAGATCTAATGAGGAGGAGAAGGCCGACTTTGAAATGAATTCAGGATTGCAATGTAAACTTCTGGTACACTATCAGAGTCAGAGGACGGATTCTTACATGGCAGCTAACTGAGCTTGAATCAGTAGTCATAAAAATCAATTTGAATTTTGAGCAGATACAACTTACTTAAAATGAAATAGAAAATTGGGTTAAAAGGAATTGTTTAAAAAAAATCTATGCTCTTATTTGAAACTCATGTGAGACAGTAGAATAAATGGGAGTGTCACAAAGGGAATGATTAAATATGACTAGAGGAGGAGGAAGGCTTGCTGGATTAAACGGAATTTTAGTCACTCGTGTCTAATATAAAATCAGATACTGTGTAGATTAAGCAATATGATAAAAAATTCTAAGTGAATGTCTTTTTTTTCTTTAAGACTTCTGCAAATTGTGGTATCTATCTGATGTAGTTTTATTTCAGGTTTACGCAGTTTTTTCCCATTAACACTAAGAATGAATGGTTTCCATTTGACCCAGTGATCCCACTTCTAGGAATATACCCTAAGAAGTATGACACCTATCAGAAAGAATATATGTACCCCTATGTTCACAGCAGCACTATTTACAATTACTAAGATATGGAAACAGCCCAAGTGTCCATCAGTAAATGAATGGATAAAAAAGCTGTGGTACATGTACACAATGGAATACTATGCAGATGACATGGAGTATCCTGGAGAGTATTATACTAAGCAAAATAAGCGAACCCAAGAAATACAAATATCACGTGTTCTCACTTATTTATGGAATACAATGAACAAAATAAGCTGATGAACAAAATAGACCCAGAGACATGGAAGTAGGGAACAGACTGACAAACCTCAGATGTGGTGGTCGGGGTGATGAGATACACCAAAGAATTTATAAGCATGTATGCCCAACCAGTGGACATAGATAACAATGCTGTGTGTGTGGAGGGGAGAGGATGAGGATGAGGGGGTCATTGGGGAAAAAAGGAGAAACATCTGTAACAAAAATTAATTAATTTTTTAAAAAAGCAATGGATGGCTTTATTGAACTTTAGTATTTCACTTTCACCCACTTCTCCTCACCACTACCAAAAGATTGATATTAAACAAAAACAAAGGACAAGAAAATTAAAAAATTTTAAAAAATTACCGTTCCTTGATACCCATTCCATCCGGTTCCTCATAAACTATGTTCCACAATAAGTATAGAAAATTAGTGCTAAATCAGTGCTATTCTTTGATCCATTGGCACGCCTCACCTTGGAAAAATTGGCAGAGAAGACAAAAAACAAACAAACATTCAAAATCTCCCTCTTATTTGTATCTCTGGTGAAGGGCTGGTCACCAGAAGGGTGGAGAACTCAGGGCAAAGACATAAATGCATTAAAGCAGATGTTCTGCACATTTCCATCCCAGCGGGTCCTGGGCCTTCCCGAGGACAGGAACCGGATAGGATGACTGCTGAGGAGTATTGTGGACAGAAACTGACCTCCTTCCTCCGGGAAACAAGGAGGGGACGGTGGTGAGGGGGACAGCATCCCCATGGTAAGCACCACTTAGCTGTAAAGAGAAGTCACACATTTGTACACGCACTACATCTGGTGTATTTCCTCCGGCCACATAGAAATTTCAAGCATGTAAAAGGTATGAATGTACTGCATATACGGGAAGTTGAGCGTCACGAAAATCAAATTTCACACGTTTGAAATACATGACACGTGTGAGACATGTCAGCCTGTCTTGGTTTTGATGGTCGGGGTCTGGATTGAGACTTTCCAAAGACGTAGGGACCCAGACCAGGCGGCGACGCTGGAGGGCGGGGTGGGGCGGGGATTCCCTGCCCGCTGACTCGGAACCCTCCGGCGACCATTCCCTGGAGGAACCCCAGCCTCCCGCCACCCGAGGCTGGGGTGAGGCAGAGCTAAACCAAAGAGCGTATATGCATGTATGCACAACCAAAGGACACAGGCATTAAGGTGGGGAAAGCAGGGGGGCGTGGGGGCGCGGAGGAGGGGTCAATGGGGGGAAAAAGGGGGACATCTGTCATACTTGCAACGACAGAAGGAAAAAAGGGATCTGGCGCAAAACCGAGCTCCGGAGGCGGCGGAACTGGGAGTGTGGGGGTTGGAAAGGGGGCAAAGCGGAGTGGGGGTCCGCGCGGGGTGCGGGGTGGCACTCCGATTTCCACCCACCTTGGGGAAGCCCACAGCAGCTTCCCCGTTTCCGATTTTGTCATTGCGTGGGTAAGGCAATCCTGCTCCGACCTGGATTTTACGCAATTATTTAAGTGTGCGCGCGTGCGTGTGTGTGTGTGGTGTGGGGGGCGGGGCGGGGAAGGCGGAAAGAACCAGTCACGCGGTCACGTGGGCTTCGTTTTCACGCATAAAAGGCAGGTTCTCTCCGTTAGCCTCCAGTTGTCAAAGGACTCGAGCGAGCGCGCAGAGTACGCCCAGGACTCGAGCGCGCAGAGTACGCCCAGGACTCGAGCGCGCAGAGTACGCCCAGGAACCCGCGCCGCGCTCCTCCCGCTCCGCCGCCGAGATGCTCGCCCGCGCCCTGCTGCTGTGCGCCGCGCTGGCGTCCTGCGCTGCAGGTGGGTCCCCGGCTGCGGCCTCTTCCAGAGCTCCGACCGCTCCGGTGCAAACGACTGGCTGCTCCAGCTCTGCCGCCAGCTCTGACCACCACGGGCCAGCTACTTCACCGGTCGGGGTCTCTTTTCCTCTGCTCAGTAGGAACAGTGCCCTGAGTCTGCAGGGTGTCATTTCGATGGGCTCAGTGTATGCGAAATGTTTGTGCGTGGTACCCACTGTGATTGCGCGGGAGCGGTTGTTTGATTTAAATACCCTAGTTAGTGCTTTCGTGCCTCGGGAAAGCCCTAGTTATTATTTTTTTTTTTTTAAGATAAGCAAAATATTTTAAAAGCTGTTCTTACTTGTAATTTTCCCTAAGTTCTGATTAATGTACTAGCTCTGTCCATTTTCATGTTGAGAGTGCTGCTTATGTGAGTTTCTTAATAATGCTAATTTGAACATCTAAAGAGTTACTAAGGAAAAGCTTAGCAAGGTGATTTCCTGGTTAATATCCCGTTATCCTTATTTACAATAGGAAGTTGGCATTGCTACCTTAACCTTCTTCGAGGTAGCTTTAAAAACATTGTTTTCCCGTGACTATCTGTATATTTCTAGAATTTATTATTGTAAAGTTGAACTATAGTAAGTAAAACAATTAAACGTTTAAGTCGAGATTAAGACACTGAAGAACAATTTATTTACTGTCCTTTCTTTTATTGTAGCAAATCCTTGCTGTTCCAACCCATGTAAAAACCAAGGTGTATGTATGACTGTTGGATTTGACCGGTATACCTGTGACTGTACCCGAACAGGATTCTATGGTGAAAACTGTTCAACACGTAAGTTTGCCATTGGGTGCCCTCATTTGGAAGGGGGATCTATTCAGTTGTAATTTTACAGCTTTGTATCTTATAACGTGCCCCATTCATTTCGCCCTCCTTTTTTTTCTCTTATTGCAGCCGAATTTCTGACAAGAATAAAATTATTACTGAAACCCACCCCAAACACAGTGCACTACATACTTACCCACTTTAAGGGCGTCTGGAACATTGTCAACAGCATCCCCTTCCTGAGAAATGCAATTATGAAATACGTGTTGATATGTAAGTACATTTTCTAAGGTGTTCAGCTTCCTCAAAGAAAAATGTTTTATATAATGCTCCAGATTACTAAACCGAATTCAAAAACATGTTTCCAACCTTGTCCAAATGAGTAAATATTTTGACTACACCTTTTTAGTGTACTTTCTATCTTAATGGCCAAAAATATTGGCATTTTAGTCCCATCCGGTTTATAAAGTTGTATCTCACTGTCAGAATTTTGCTTACAATCCTGCATATCTTTTCCAAGCTTCTTGGATGGTTATTTGAAAAATCAAGATGGTAGAACATCTGGTCTTGTTAGAAAGTGTAATTGTTTTAAAACAGTATTATTGTTGAAATTAAATTCAATCTCTGGTGCTATTTTGCACATTTTACAATAAAAAAATGAACATTGATTTGCCTTGCATATGGTAACAAATTAAACTTTTTTTTTTCTTGAAAATTTCAGCCAGATCACATTTGATTGACAGCCCACCGACTTACAATGCACACTATGGCTATAAAAGCTGGGAAGCCTTTTCTAATCTCTCCTATTATACCAGAGCTCTTCCTCCAGTGGCTGATGACTGCCCAACCCCCATGGGTGTGAAAGGTGAGTGAGGGGAGGCAGTTAGAGGTGTATTGCAATGAGGGTTGGATTGCTACTTAGAAAATTTGACCCTACCTACATTATCATTTATTTGTTAGTAAAAGTGTAGCTTTTCCTTCCTTATGGATATCTGTGGAGATTATTTGAAAGTGTGAATCTATTTAAATTATTTCGTGGAAGTGAATGGGCATTTTGGTTTAATATCTTAATGTTTTCAAATTCATACTAGTTAAACAATAGATAAAAATCATTCAGTAAGAAGTTGTTTCTCGGTATCTTATTACTTTCTCATTTTTCAGGGAAGAAAGAGCTTCCTGATTCAGATCTGATCGTGGATAAATTTCTACTAAGAAGAAAGTTTATTCCTGATCCCCAGGGCACAAATTTGATGTTTGCGTTCTTTGCCCAGCACTTCACCCATCAGTTTTTCAAAACAGATATGAAGCGAGGACCAGCTTTCACGAGAGGACTGGGTCATGGGGTAAGTCAGAATGAAATAAAAAATACAGCAAAGTATAGTGAGGGGCTAACATTAAAGACCATGTATTTACTAGCCACACCAAATAATTCACCCTCTTTTTAAAAAGTGTCTGTCTATGAAAACTTGAGTGGAGTCTTCATTTTAATTCACTGGTTCAGTAAAAATACACACACACACACACACACACACACACCATTTATAATCTGGCTCTTATATTCTTAGTTCAAAATATTAGCACTGCAAACAGTTGTGTTTGTACTCTGATTATGCTGCTTTAAATATTGTAAGGTGAGATTCTTGCAGCATTAATATCTTTTGGATTTCAATAGCATAGCTTTAGTTTATTGATAAGAATTTTATATCAATAATTTTTGTGATGCCTTTTAAAGGAAATAACCATATAATTATAGTGAAGCATATGATATATTTATAAATTACACAGGAGATACTAATACCTTTAAACATAAGAGACATATATAGTTTGTAGCTTCAGTAGATAAACATTAATTTAGTATTTTGTGGCTGTGGAAAAAAAGGTTTCACTGAAAATTTTTAATTGAATCAAGCTAAATCTTCAAATTACTTAATGATAAATTATATCACAGATGCTTTTTATAAGAACAACCTCAACAGCAGCAAATTGAGATTTTTCTATAATCTTCCAGGTGGATTTAAGTCATATTTACGGTGAAACTTTGGACAGACAACATAAACTGCGCCTTTTCAAGGATGGAAAAATGAAATACCAGGTTTGTCTCATCTGAATATTAAGAATTAGTTATGGTTCACCACTTCATCTGTATTTTTAGATCTATAATTAAAAGTGAGTCCTTAACTTTTAAATTAATGTTTATTTATTACCGTTATTTTTTAGATAATTGATGGAGAGGTATATCCTCCCACGGTCAAAGATTCTCAGGCCGAAATGATCTACCCCCCTCATATCCCTGAACACCTGCGGTTCGCTGTGGGGCAGGAGATGTTTGGCCTGGTGCCTGGTCTGATGATGTACGCCACGATTTGGCTGCGAGAACATAACAGAGTATGCGACGTGCTCAAGCGGGAACATCCAGAATGGGATGATGAGCGGCTGTTCCAGACAACCAGGCTAATCCTGATCGGTAAGGAAGACGAGAAAATCAAGTCATTCTGGGGGAATGTAGTGGATGTAAAATCACATGCTCCATATTAACTCCATCCGTGAGCATGATTGTAACACCTAACTACCATCTGTGTTCATGGTGAAAACGAAGAAGCAGAAGTGAAGGAAGAGCAAGTCCATAAAATTGCATTTTGGGCTCTTGAAAGTGAGTGATCAGGAAGAATTAATGTTCTGAAATTTTTATTTGTGCCCACAGGAGAAACGATTAAGATTGTGATCGAAGACTACGTACAGCACCTGAGTGGCTATCACTTCAAACTGAAGTTTGACCCAGAGCTGCTTTTCAACCAACAATTCCAGTACCAAAACCGCATCGCTGCTGAGTTCAACACACTGTACCACTGGCACCCGCTTCTGCCGGACACCTTCCAGATCAACGAGCAGGAGTACGGCTACCAGCAGTTTCTCTTCAACAACTCCGTACTGATGGACCACGGGCTTACCCAGTTTGTCGAATCGTTCAGCAAGCAGATTGCCGGCAGGGTATGCATTGTTATTAGTACTGAAAAACAAGATAAAACAGGACTAGTCGTAACTAGAAATAATTTTTCTTGAACTTACTAAAAAAAAGTTATTTTGCTAGTAAAATTCTTTTCTTGAAATAAGCAGTTTAACTTTTTTTTGAAGTCAAAGTTTTTAGTCTAGAGTTATCAAATGCCAATATGTAGCCATACCTTAAATATAGGGATTTTTTAAAAAACTTTGTCTGTAATCTTAGAGATTACAGAAATAAATATTTCAGACTTGAGTAGTGTAGGGTCTCCATTGAGAGCATCAGTCTTACCCTGTACCCAAGGAATGCTTTTCAAATAGAAACTGGAAATACTCCCCCAGATTCTGTTTTATAACGGAATTTGCTTTCTGCAGGTGGCTGGCGGTCGCAACGTCCCAGCTGCAGTCCGACACATCTCCAAGGCCTCCATCGACCACAGCAGACACATGAAGTACCAGTCCCTCAATCAGTACCGCAAACGCTTCCGCATGGAGCCCTATGAATCCTTTGAGCAACTCACAGGTGAGACAGCTTTTCTAAACTCCCTAAAAAATGCCAAGGGTCAAATGCAAACGACAGGGAAGTTGGGAGCAGGTATGAGCCAAGGGGAAGAACGATGCTTTGCATTTTGCCAAGTTTTACAATAACGGTGTGTCTGTCTTGGTCACCTGCAGGAGAGAAGGAGATGGCTGCAGAGTTGGAAGCACTCTACGGGGACATTGATAGCATGGAGCTGTATCCCGGGCTTCTGGTAGAAAATCCTCGTCCAGATTCCATCTTCGGTGAGACCATGGTGGAACTTGGAGCCCCCTTCTCCTTGAAGGGACTGATGGGCAACCCCATATGCTCCCCTCAGTACTGGAAGCCTAGCACTTTCGGGGGAGAAGTCGGTTTTAAAATCATCAACACTGCCTCAATTCAGTCTCTTATCTGCAACAACGTGAAAGGCTGCCCCGCGACTTCCTTCAGTGTGAGGGACCTGCAGCCCCCCAAGGCCGTCACCATGCATGCGAGCCCCGCCCACTCGGGACTGGATGACATCAATCCCACTGTTCTCCTCAAAGAACGGTCAACCGAACTGTAGAAGCCCACTGATCATATTTATTTATTTATATAAATGGTTGCTTTTTAATTATTTAATATTTATAGCAAACTCCTTATGTGACTTAACTTCTGTTAAGGAGAAAAGGGGTTACACTTGTGAAGATTTTTGTGTCACTGATTTAAAGATGTCTTTTCTCCGAGTCAAAGGGAAAAACAGTTGTCATTCGACATCTTTTTACTTGAATTTCAGTTTAGATGGTTACAGTAAGAAGCAGAGCAGGGGTGTTTGGACATTGAAACAGTGTTGCAAGAGGGCAAAATGCTGCACAATTCTTTCCCTACTTCCTGTTGTCACAGCGTATCTTCCAGGGTACATTGGGGGCCACAGCCTGCACGCTGGTCCGTTGGTTTTCTTCTAGCCATTTTGCTAAAAGAAGCTCTTTTAATCAGTTTACTTCTGGTTTGTTTCCCTGGTTTCAAGATCCTTTGGACTCTGTATCTTCTTATCTGAACTCCTGCAAGTTTTCAGGAAACCTCAGCTCAGGACTACTACTTAGCTGCTCTTCAGGAGAATGAAAGAACACAAAAGCTCTCAAAAATGGCCTTGATTAAAAGGTGTACTCATGTGTCTTAAGTGAAAGACAGAGAACTTTTTATTTATTTTTAATTTTAACTATATGTAACTTAAGAAGCCTACAAAGAGGCTCAGAAAGAACTGTGAGGGGTTCTTGACCAGAAGAGCGTTATATTTCTATTCTAGTGAATGTCCTTTTTCGTTTAAAAACAAAAGTAAACTGTTCCTGAATAGTTCCCAGGAACATAATGCTTCTTCTTTTTCACGTCTCATCATCTTCTGTCTGGTACTGTACATAACTTAATTTATTGAGGGTTATTATTTATATTTTGTTAGGATATTATTATTATAAATTGGGTTGAAGCCTGTAGTCACTGATTTCTTCTTCCTCTTTATGACATTATGTCAGAATCTTTATATCTTCTTTGGGATTACCTCTTTGAATGTTGAAAACTGCAACAGAAATTATTGGATTAAGATGTGAATTAATTTTCAGGAACCAAACTCTGGTACATAGAGATACAAGGTTGGAATTTATGTCTTTAAGGTTTACCTATACACCAGCCCACAGAGAACTTGAGTCTCATTAGCCTGGATGTGCCATAAGACTGACCTTTTATACATTTTTTTTACGGACCTGTGGATGCTACATTAACTCATTCTGTCGTAACTTATTGAAGAGACATTCTATGCAAAGTACTGTAGACTTTAATATTTTTAATCAAGCACTGATTTTGGATGACATTAGTATGTATATAAATTAAAAGCACCTCTCTTAGGTAGAGGGAGAAGATGAAATTTCATTAAACAGAAATAACTCAGGGGAATTTTTATTTAAGATTTTATGTTTAAAAAGTTAATGGTCAAAAAAGAAATTGTCAATATTAGAAAGGGGCTTACATAAAGAACTGTTCACTTCCCTGATTGAAAACCTGGGTTGTTATTAACATCAACCTGCTGTCTGAACCTAGGAATTCACAATGTGTGTGTGGTTGTTTTGGTACCTTAGACTGTATTTAAATTACATAAAGTACAAGTGTTGAAATAAATTCGTTTATTTTTATACAAAGAATTGAAAAATCTCTTCTAAAATAAATTTTGACTGTTTCTATATATCTTTGTCATATGACGTATGATTTCTTTAAAGTGTTATACTTAAACCATTGTTTTGTATTCTACCTATTCCAAACTAGACAAGCCCCTAATGAAATGGTTCTGCCCTCAGTCATACATAAGACTTCCTGGGATCACTGTTTATAATCTCTTTTTTTTTTATTTTCAATATGTTATTGATTTTTTAGAAAGATAGGAAGGGAGAGATAGAAACATTGATCAGCTGTCGCATGTCCCCCACTAGGGATCAAACTGCAATTCAAGCATGTGCCCTTACCAGGAATTGAACCCAGGACCTGTCAGTCCATGGGACGATGCTCAATCCACTGAGCCACACTAGCCCGGCATGCAGTCTCTTATTCACTGCCACACCGTATTGGAAACATGTGCTTTGTGCTCTAGAAGATTGCAACAAGCTTGTTTTCATTGCCCAATCTAGAAAAAGAAAAGAAAAAACAAGTACACAAAAGGCAAAAAATTAGAAAAGAATTACTAAGGAGGTACACAATGAAAAGGGAAGTTTAAAGAGGAAGAAATTATACTCAGTTGGGCAAATCGTTGATACCTGGTTTTGACTTCTGTTCTACCCCCTTACTCTTGACATCTTCTAATTTCAATATCCAGATGGGCCACATATTTAACATGCTGCCTGGCCTCTTTCTTTGGCCTCCTTCATTCCTGTGATGCCTTTCTCCACGAGATTTTCCATAATCACATACCTTGAGCTCATCATTATCAATTACTGTCCAAATCTTGATTTTCAAGTATCCTCCTTCTTTTACCAACACCCACAGGTCACCTATTTTTGTACTCACACTGGGTCTACTGACCCATCAACCTCATCCTTCAGTATTTTCACCCCATTTATCTCCACATTTCCTAACTTACACATCTAGCTCAGATTGCGTGGCCCATCATTAGGATGACTCCCTTATTCCTGGTCTACTCTCTTTCCCTTGTAGTTAACTGGCACAATTTAATTAATTTCGGCCATCCTCCTACTCTGTTCAACTTCTCAGTAGCAGTCAACACAAATGTCTAGAGTTTCTTTACGGAAAGATTTATATGTTTTTTTGGCTTCATGATTTGATCCTCGTCTGGTCTTCCTCTACTGTCAGAGTGCCACTACTCAGATATTTGTAAAACTCTTCATCCTCACTGTGTCTATAAATGCAAGCATTTTATTCCCCCTCTTCTCTTTAACTGTATTCTTCCAGGTGAATCCCATCCAAGCTCATCAATTGAAACACTAATTAATCACTCCCAAATTTATGTCTCCAGCAGAAGTCTTGTTGATGATATCCCACAAATAATTTCTACATCTGTCACTTTTTCTCCAACTCCACTACTACTAACCTAGTCAATGCAATAATCTTGTAGTTGGTTTCCCCTCTTCTATAATTGCTTTCCTCCAAACCATTCTACTTATGAGAGCAGTCATTTTCAAACATGTATCATGTCTCTCGCTTGTTTGAAATCTTCCAGTGGATTTCTGTTACACAGCGGATACATTTAAACACCTTATCCTCTCCTGCGAGGGTCTCACTAACCTGTCCCCTGCCTATCTCTCTGATTTCATCCACCACAATTGCCCACCCGTGTGCACTGTGTTCCAGCCATGTTTCTTCTGGTGTGTTTATTAGGAGTGGTGTCAAGCTGTTGCTCTCATCTAGAATGTTCCTTCTGCAGATGTTCCCATGGCCACATTCTGCTCAACATTCAAATTTCAGCTCGGACCTCCCTTCTGAGGGAGGCTTCTCCAACCGCCGCAGCTAAAGCAACTGCTCCGTCAGTTTTATTTTCTTGGTGGCATTTATTTCTACCTAACATTATCTTGATTTGCATGCTTACATATTTATTATCTGTGTCCCCTTGCTAGAATGTCATGTCTCTGAAAGCAAGGACTTTGTATTGTTTGCTGCTCTGTGCAGTGTCTGACACTTAAAAGATATTAAAAATATTCAATGAAGGAATAAAATAGGCTTCACGAGAGAAGCAGAATACGTGCTGATTCTTAAATAAAGAGTAAAACCTTAGCCCTGGCCGGTTTGGCTCAGCGGTTAGAGCGTCGGCCTGTGGTCTGGAGAGACCTGGGTTCGGTTCCCGCTAAGGGCACGTACTTCGGTTGCAGTTTGTCCCCGGCCCTGGTTGGTCGTGCGGGTGGCGGCCACTCGATGTGTCCCTTTCACGTCGATGTTTCTCTCTCTCTCTCTCCCTCTCTCTTCCTCCCACTCTCTCTGTACAAAAACTGGAAAAATGTCCTCGGGTGAGGATAAAAACAAAAAAAAACAAAACAAAAAAAAGAGTAAAACCTTAAAAAAAATAAACAGAGATATACACTCTGAAAAATAGTTTGGCAGTTTACTCTAAAATTATAATTTACTTACCATATATACCAGTTTTCTAGTGATTTTATAACAAATTACCACAGGCTTACAGGCTTAAAGAAAACACAAATTTATTATCTACATCTCTGGATGTCAGAAGTAAAAAATAGGTCTTAAGAGTTAAACTCACGGTGTCGATAGAGCTGTTTGTCTGGGCGCTCTAGGCAAGGATCTGTCTCAACATTCCAGCTTCTAGAGGCCACCTACATCCTTTGTCTCATAGTCTTTTTCTCTGTCATCAAAGCCAGTAGGGTAGTATCTTCAATGTCTCCGATTCTGAGTCTCTTGCCTCCCTCCAAAAATGGCCCTTTTGATTACTTTGGGCCCATAAAGATAATCCAGGAAAATCTCCCTTCCTCATGATCCTTCACTTTGTCACATATACAAAGTCCCTTTTGCCATGTAAATCAACATGTCCACAAGTTCTAGGGACTAGGGCAGGGACATCTCTGGGAGGCCACTATTTTGCCCACCACATCATACAACCCAGCAATTGTACTCTTGGGCATTTATCCCAGAAAAATAAAAACCTATATCTGTGCAAAGATCTGCACATGAATGTCCATAGATTAAAAAAACTGGAATAATCCAAATGTCCTTCTAAAGGTTAATGGGTAAACAAACTGTGGCAAATGGTGCTGTATCTACACCATGGAGGAATGTGCAGGAAAACGAACAAATGATACACACAACGACTTGGATGGGACTCAAGGGAATGATGCTGAGTGGGAAAAAAAAGCCAATCTTACAAAGTTACCTACTGTATGATCCTACTTATACAATATTCTTGAAATAACAAAACTATAGGGATGGAGAGCAGATTAGTGGCTGCCAGATTCGGGATAGGGAGTTAGCTACAGCTGTAAAGGGTTAGCATGAGGAAGCCTTGTGCTGCTTGAACATCTGTATCTTGACTGAGGTGGCAGTTACACAAAGCTACACATGTGACATAATTGCAGAGAACTACACACACACACACACACACACACACACACACAAATGCGTGTCTACATGGCAAAATCTATGTATTTTATCCAGGTCAATTTCCTGGTTTTGATATTGTACTATAATTATGAGAGATGTCAACATTGGGGGAGGAGGTAAAAATGTTGCATGGAACCTCTCTGTACATTTCTTTGCAACTTCCTGTGAATTAATAGTCATTTCAAAATTAAAAAATGTTAAGAAAGGAAGAGATGCAATGTCCTTCTTAATAGAGGGAATAGGTGTATAGGCCATTTTTGCACCGTGTGATTTCCTGAACCCCCATCCAGATTGCCACGGTAGACTGGGCCTGACCCAAGCTGGGAAAATAAAATGATCTCTCCAAGGAATTTAAAATTAGGATGGAGATTCTAGTTCAGCCACACAATATACTGTTGACAATGGCATCAATGAAAGCTAATGGGTAAACCAAACAGTCTCTGAATAGTGGTATGGCAACATCTGAATAGCCCCCTAAAAAGAAATAACCTCAATTATACTTCACAATACACACAAGTTAATTCAAGATAACTCATATATATGCAGGTAAAAGATAAAAGCAAAAAGCTTTGAGAGAAAAAAATAGGACAATGTGTTCATGAACCTATGATAGGCAAAGAATTGTACATTTTTTTTCAACTTTTATTGATTTTGTTGGAGTGACATTGCCTAATAAAATTATATAGTTTTCAAGTGCACAGTACTTTTTAAAAAAATTTTAAAAATATTTTATTGATTTTAGAGAAAGGAAGGAAGAGCAGAGAGAGAGAGAAAGATCTATGTGAGAGAGAAATACCAATCAGTTGCCTCCTGCATGTGTTGCGACCAGAGATTGAACCCACAACCTGGGTATATTCACTGACCAGGAATCAAACCTATCACCTTTTGGTGTACGAGATGAAACTCCAACCAGCTGAGCCACATCAGCCAGGGCTCAAGTGTACAATTCTATAATACATCATCTATATATTGTTGGTGTGTTCACCACCCAAACTCAAGTCTCCTTACATCATTATTTATCTGCCTGTTACCCTCTTGTACCTCTCCCCAACCCCCATTCCCTCTGGTAATCACCACACTATTATCTATGGTATTTTTGGTTATTCCCTTCACTTTTTTCACCCAGCCTCCCAAACTCCCTCTCCTCTGACAGCTGTCAGTCTGTTCTCTGTATCTTTGAGTCTATTTCTATTTTGTTTGTTAGTTTATTTTGTTCATTAGATTTCACATATAAGTGAAATAATATGGTATTTGTCTTTCACTGACTGGCTCATTTCATTTAGCATAATATTCTCTAGGTCCATCCATGCTGTTGCAAAAAGTAAGATTTCCTTCTTTTTATGGTCAAGTAGTATTCCGTTGTGCAAATGTACCACAGCTTTTTTATTCACTCATCTACTGATGGGCTGTTGGACTGCTTCCAAATCTTGGCTATTATAAATAACACTGCAATGAACATAGGGATACAAAAGAAGTGTAGATTTCATCCAGATAATACTAACCATAAAAGAAAAAA